AATGAGAAACAACAGTGATGCAGGCACTGTTTTAAGAATGGTAATTTTAAGTGAAATTACTTAAAATTAGTACAGCCATATTTAAACCAATTAAGTACAACCACTTTCAATGCCGCGGACGCGTCCAATTTATATACATTTCTATATGACCGAAACCGTCACCTGCGTTGAAAGTGTTTAACTAAAACAATTGATTTTGATTTTAGATAATGAAATTACCACACTTGCCTGCAGAAAGGTTAGATGGATTTCCAAATGATTTCTAAATTTTAGAAGGGTTTGCACACATACAAGAATTGGCACGTGAATGGAGAATGGAAAACTTATTCGGCCAGATGGTTTAGTATGTTTGGCTTAAATGTAAGAACAAACAATTGCATTCAAAGCTTTCACAGTGCGATAAGGACCACGATTGGTGAACATCCACCAATATTGAAAATTTTATGGTAAATTCATTCAACAGTTTTTTAAATTATATTTAGAGATTGAAATTAAATGTTGGACATACATTATCTACATACAGACAGACTACGAAGTGTAGAATGTAGAGTGCGAAGAGAAACCCAACAGGTCCCTAACGGCCAACAAGTAAATAATAGCTATAGTAAATGAAAATGTCATCAAATTAATAAAATATTGATTTTTAGATACGGAGATCAATTACCACAAGTAGGGATACAGTTAACCACATTTTGGAATATGCACAACAAAATGTGAGGAATGGAAGGTATGGCGTCACTGCATTCTTAAGGAGAATGGCGTATTCGACACAAGTGGATATTGGGACCACCAAATTGGTCAAATACCATTAGGTAAATACAATTTCAGTAATTTCCTCGCACAATATTAATTTTTTATATATAATTGCAATTAGATGTTTAACCTCCAGCTTGCATTGAACCATTAGTACCCTCATTAGTACTACAGCCACTTCAACCACCACCACCACTTCGACAAGGACGAGGTAAAGGGTTGCAAACAAGAGGTGTATCCCGTGTTGCCTTTAATATAAGAGACCAACGGCGCAGAGGACCCCCTCTAATTCGAAAAGGTTTACCTTTAGGTAAAATTTAATAAAATAAAAATAAGGTAACGTTATTAAATTCATTTTCAGTTGAAAAAATTTAACCAAATATTGTAATATTGAAGGTATAATCATTAAATAATAATTTAAAACTGTTATTTAATTTATAGTTTTAATAAAAAATACTTTTTTAGAACGTATAGAAGAAGTTCGAGCAGATAATATAGAAATAGTAGAAGTGTGTGAAAGTGAACAAAACGAAAATGAAGGTAGCATTTCATTATAGTACATCCAGATAATAATCGAAGAAAAATGTATATAAAAAAAAATTATTATTTTAATTATTATTTATAGAGGAGGGCGTAGAAATTGTCAAAGTAGCAGTGGTAGAACCTCCAGCTGAAGGTAGATTAATTTAATTTTTTAATTTAAAAATAAATATTAAAAGAGAATATAATTCCTCAAGGATTCCTCCAGAAGGGCATTTATCTCCCATTTTGTTCTCTTTACTTGTCAACGGTATTATTCATAATTTAGCTAACTGTAAATTACTATATTATGCTGACGATATGAAGCTATTTATGCGCATCGACTCCCTGAATGACTGTGTTAAGTTACAAAGTGATTTTGATCGCTTCATTACTTGGTTTCAATCATTAGGAATGACCCTTAATCCTGTTAAGTGCCATCTAATGACCTTAGCAGATCTCAAACTCCGATTATGTTTACCTATCATTCCGATACTTACAATATGACACGTGTTTACACTGTCATTGACCTAGGTTTTAAATTTAATTGTTTGCTTGATCCTCGGCCACATATTGAGATGATTTCTTGCCATGCTTTTAAAACATTGGGTTTTGTAATGAGGATTACATCGGATTTAAAACTAAAAAAATCATTGAAAACGCTGTATTGCGCGTTAGTTCGTCCGGTTATTGTGTATGGCTCTATTGTTTGGAATCCTCATACTATTTACGACTCTTACTTAATAGAAAGAGTTCAACGTAGATTTTTGCGACACGCAGGTTTTTTTATTAAATGTTCCACATGCATCTCATGACTATGCGCCAATTGCAGATCTCCTTACCTAAACTCGCTAGCTGATCGCCGAAAAACGAGCGAACTCAAATTTTTGTATGGTTTATTAAACGGTCATATTTCTTTTCTTCTTACCTTTTATCTTTATTGAACTTTTCTTAAAAATATTGTTGTTTCAGGAGCTCACGATGGAACCCCGATGCCCCAACGACAACAGCCGTCCACGACCGTCTCGCCGAGCGGTAGCAGACTACGTGGCGTGGCTCCGCAGGACAGCGGAGGACGCTCTTCGAGCGGCGGCCCGCCTAACCGGCGAGCAATTCGCAGGCCTGTCGACCGGATCCGGAGAGCGGAACTGCGGGAGTTACGGGCCCAGGAGCAACTGGGTATCGCCTACGACCGCCTATCCTGAACGCCCCATCAATCCAGCTGTCTTAGATGCCCGACCGGCCGGACTAGGGGGGGAGTATGACGCGGTCGCACCGCGACCCCAGCCGGTGGCGGATGCTAACTACATTCGTCACCGCTGGGTGGCGACCGCATCCCCTACTTTAGTCCGTCGGGTCGCGGATCGGCAGCGCGAACCGGTCGCCGCCGCCGCCGCCAGCTGACATCACTTCCTGACATCACGGTCTCACGGACGTTACCGTTCAATACAAAAAACATTGTCAATCTGTATTTAATTAAAGTCACCCGTGATTACAGCACCCCGTGTTTTTAATTAATCGAGTTAACCCTCTCCGTACGACCACAACATAGTTTTTATTCAATGTCATTATGTATAAGTTTTTATTTATTTTTTTGTATTTGTATTTTGTTGTTTAATTATATTTAATATCCTTTATACAAACTGTTTTTATTTTTATTAAAACATAGTATATTTCGAGTATTCAGTATAAAAAATAGTAAATGGCAATTACAGTAACAATGTAAAAATGTGGAATAACGAAAATTTGTCTGGTTGATGCGGCGCTGGCCATGAGTAGTTGTCTCGCCGGTCCCGAATTTCGGTGTCATGAATGCGAGAAAAGTTAACCACCAAGTTGATTTAGACGTGCACACGAGTAGACAGCACAACACTGTGGCGAACAGTAATATAGAGACTGCCAGAAAGAGCTTAAGGTGGTCGGCAAAGGAGAAACGACTGGTTGCGAAGCAGGCCTTGTCATCTCCGACACGGCCAGGTTAGGTTAGGTTAGGCATCATCAGGGACCCACCTTGCCGTGGTGGAGGGGCTCACGCCTCAGGGCGTGCTAACGGGTCCACATCCCGGCCCTGTCTTTAACTAGATGAGGCCGGAGGTCAGAAAGCCAATCCTGACCTTAACTGGTTGGGGTCGGCAAGGCTTGATCCACCTTTAACCTCTTATAAACGGATCAAACCCGGTGGCGGGCAAACCACAAAGGGAAGGTACCCTTCAAACCAAAAAATGGCACAAAACGACAACGGAAATACTACCCCTGACTCAGGCCCCCACGGATTCGGGGGGGGGGGGGGGCGGCCATACGGAAAACGACTTGCAACTTGGAAATGGAAATGCGGATTTTGATAAAGACGACTTGGATCCTTTGTTCGAGGAGGTTCAGAACGTACGAGCAGCGGTGGAGTCTATGAAAAACACCATCAAAGAAATGGCAAAATATTGCAATGAGCACGCTAATGTTCATGTGCCAATAAAAAGGTGGACGGAGGAAATCCTCAAGAATGTCGGGGAAATTATACAAAAAGTTTTTAAGGTTGACTCGGAGGCTTGAAAGACCAACGACTTGGTCTTGCGGCTTCACAGGGCCGTCTTCAAACACTCAGAGATGTCGCTCCGAAATATGGAGGCCAGTTTTTTACTGCCAAATGTCGTGAGTACCCCAAAGACGCTCTAGGAGGAGAAAAGAAACGCGGATGTTCCCGAAAATGGAAGGGAAAAAGTAAAAAAGAAAAAAAAGAGCACAATGGAGGAGGCCAAAGAATCCCAGAGGAGGCCCAACGCGGGCGGCGCGCCGAAACCCCCGCCTAGCAATAGGCAGGCGATTAGGCGGGCCGTCGCGGCAAAGGCGATGGCTCTGGTGGTCAGACCGGGGCCTGGGAAAACGTACGCGTCCGTTGCGAGTAAAATCAAAGCGGGCGTGGACGTCCAGGCTCTTGGTCTGGACATCAGGGCCATGAAGAAGACGGCCAACGGGGACGTGCGGCTGCAGCTTGCTTGGGGTCCTGACGAGGCCTCGGCTTCGGACAGGCTCCGGGAGGCTGTTGTCGCCGTCCTCGGCGAAAAGGAGGCAACGGTGACGACAAGCTCCATTCCGGTGGAGGTTGAGCTGCAAATATCCTCAAATATGTGGATCAGAAGGACCTTCACGCGAAGGTGGTTGTCCAAAACAAATCGACTGAAGTACAAACTTTCGCAGTCACAGTATCGTGGCGTAGAGTATGGGTCCTTGAAAGCGTTTAAAACCTCCATTAAGCTTGTGTTGAGTTCAGGCCTCCTGTCCGGTTTAACTACTCAGGTACCCAATGGCTCTTCACTCAACTGGTATACTATCAACCGTAGGAATGACATCACAAGGCGGCTCGGTGTGCGGTATTCACCCCGACTAATCCGTATACACGTGGAGGTCTCCTCATTCCTCCATTTCTTTTCTTTCCCTCTGAAACCCATCCTTTCCTCTAGAGTTTCGCCCATCCAGATTAGGCTGTTTAAATTATGACAGCTTGTCTGCTTGTAAAGCACTCTTCCCCTAAAGGTAAGCAGTGTGAATGTTGTTAACTGAATTCGTGTGAGGGATATTCATGCTACTGATAAATTGTTTCTATGACAACATAAACAACGGTAGGGCTATCATATCTCTGTAGAAGAATATTTCATAATTTCAAAAAAGTTTCACAAAACTATCGTTATTTTAGTTATTTCTACTATTGTACATAATCGAATATAAAATCTATAATGCCTCCAAAACTGGACCAGACTGTCAAAAAGTCAACAAGATTATCGCAAGTAAGCGTTGTAAAGTCTTGATAATGAGTTTAATGACACTTTTGCATTGGCACAATGGCATTTTTGTTACTACAAAATGAACATTTCTTTGTTTAAATAATTAGTCGCAACAAGGTCAAAGGAAACCATTCAATAAAGAAGCTCCTCGACGTCAGGCGAAAGTATCAAAACCAACTGTAGATGATTTTGGAGGGTTATTTTCTAATGAACCTGTAAAACCTGAAGATCAGTTAAAACTGACTGAAGAAGTAAGTGATTTTGCAAAGTTATAAAAACTATTTTAAAAAGCCCTTTTGATGATAGGAATGATATTCGGTAGGTAACAATCACGATTAAAGATATTATTAATAGTGGTATCAATATACACTAGTATAAAGGCGTAGCAAAGAGAGATTTTCCTTGACCAGCAGCTGGTTACAACTTGCACATTGCAATATGCATCGCGTATATTAACTAAAAAAATCTAACTTACATTTTTTGTTGACAATTAATAATTAATTATTAATTTTCAATCAACTCCACTGTACCTAGTGTCAAATACCTCTACCTAAAACTATACTATTTAAAAACACTATTTGAATTTGAGGTTTATATTTTAATAAGTCATAAAACGTAATCATACACGGTTTTAATAACGCTTAATCGAGTTATTAAATTTGATCTGAAAACTATTTCTAAAACAAGTAATAATTTAAAATAAGCAATCGATTGCAATATAACAATGTATATGTAATTAATTTTAAAGATTAAATAACAAACATACCCAATTGGTTTCATACATTTAATGAAAACAAATACAAAATGTTGATATAGTTGTTCGAGTGTTCTTTTTATGTATAGGAATTGGATGAGCCAATGGGAAATGTTCTGCTGGTCGTCGAACCACCCGAAAAATCGGCTCGGGTTACTTACACTTATAGAATAGGAGAATATTTGCCAGCCAAAAAAAGTCAACCTTACGTCGAACTAATTAATTTAAAGTCAACATTACTTCATAGCGAATCGACGGAAGCGAATATTCAAATCGAAAACGAATTATGTAGTATGATTGCGTAAAATTAATAAGTTTATTTGAAAATTATCATGATCGATTTTGAATTTTGAGTTTTAACATTCAAACCCTATTTTTTTTTCGTTATCCGTATAGAGGTGGAAGAAGACTTGGGCGGAGATGACGAAGACAGTAATGTCGACGAAGGAGGCGAAGAAGGTGATGAAGGAGATGACGTAGCAGCCGGTGTAGCCGATGTTGTAGTACAAGGAGAAATGGAAGAGGGAGAAGGTGAGATCGAAGATTTTCAAATCGAAGAAGACGAAGTCGAAGACGAAATGGACGAAGACGCCACGTCGAAACCTAAAGCCACGTCAGATTCGGACGAAGATGCACCACCGGCAATAGTTAAGCAGGAATCTGCCATAACATCTAAAAGTCTACCGATCACACAGAGATGTGTGATGAAAAAATTGATGAATCAATTTAATTTCTTTGAGCGTTGTGCGCAGACGGAAGAAATCGTTACGAGGGTAATTAGTAATATCATATTGATGCACTGCACCCAGTGATAGTATTTCGGGAGAACACCGAGAGGATTGAAACAATTTACAATTACTTATAACTCTAGTTTTTAAAAAGCCAGTACAGTGGGGGGTCGGGGCATAGTGGGGACGAAGAGGTCACAGGTCTACAGATTTTTTTATAACTGAAAGTGATAAAATCACTTTTAAATAAACGCTTCGAATCTGTTCAAACCAGTTATAGTTCCATTTTAGATCTACCTTCGGTCTAATTTTCAGATCAAAATATCTAAAACTTTGCTTGAAAAATTGAAATAAAGAAAAAAATTCTATCCCTTTTAGGGGAAAGGGTTTATATTTTTTTTTTGATTTGTTCATGTTTATCGATAGTAGTATGTTTGACGAAGAATTCATATAAATTTGGAACTTTTTCGACTATTTTTAAAAAAGTTATAATAGAGCATCGTAATTTTAAGTTGAAAAATTTGTAAATTTTTTGGGTGTTTTTCTCAATTTTAATGGGGAAGGGGTGAATGTTTCCAGGTATGATTACTGATCTATAGACTTGCTACACAAAAATAAAAACACATTGTAAAAACAATACCTTCTCAGCTCCCAACGAAGCTAAAATAAATAGAAGTGATTAAGAAAAGAATCAATGAAACTTTCATCATAAAAATCTGCCAATCCAGTTCAAAATCACTCGACTAGGTTTTTTTTAACAGGCTAAGAATGTCTAATATTTACAAAATTAGAACCACAATCACATCTTCTAATGCGTGTGTCTGACACTACTGAATTAAAAGAGTTATTTATTGTATTGTATGTACGGGTTTTCTGTTATGTGTATAATACCATCAAAATCACAACTAAATTCACTTTTTTTTAAATTAATAACGACGAATCTTAGAACAAATTACAGTACAGACCAAAAGTGTGAATACGCAAGAGAAATCAAAATATATTTTGTTTAGTAATTTATTTTACGAAAACAACTTACTTTAATTATATAATTTGTATGTGTACAAAATGTTTCAATACTTTCTATTTATTCTTAATGTAATTCTTCCGGTATTTTAGGAAAAAAGTGCTCAGACAACGCCCCCAGAAAAAGATGACTTTAACACGCTTGTGACGCAATGGATTATTTACGATACCTACAACGAGGATTTTGCAAGACAGCAGGAAGAGAAGGAGAGAGAGAAGAGGGAAAAATTAGCCGCGCATGCTAGCAAAAAAAGCACAGGCAAACAAAAGAAAATTGAAGTGGCGGAAGACCGGACCGAAAAAAACATGTTAATGGCCGCAAAGTTTTTAGAACGAATAATCAATCTTAACGCTATGGACGCTATAGCTCAAGGTAAGTTTGAAAAAAATGAGGTCGGGACCAACTGAGGTTATGGATCAGTAGCGCCTATTAAGGCTCCAGAATAAATTTATCGGATTGTCTGGATGGGCGTAAGGTAACGGCACGAGTGATTGTCATTACCCCAATTTTTCAACTTTTCTCCAACCCCATCCCCATCATATATAAGAATATAAGGTTATATATATGGATACATTTTCGTTAGGTTTTTAACTGTCGATTTTTCCGGTTGTGTGCCAAAGCAAAGACATAAAAATGTCTCAAAAATTCAAAATATGTAACCGTATATAGTAGTAGTACAGATTATAGTAGTGCCAATCACTGGTGCCGTTACTCTAAACTTAATGACGCTGGAATTTTTTCAAGATTGAACATACTTACATTTGCAATACGTACTTGAATACGTCCTGGAATTGAAACTTTTTGAATTCCATATTGTAAACATATTGTCTGAATAATTTATCAATACCTATTTTAAACTCTTGTAACTTACAGATTTTCGTTACTACGAAGACCCGTCGGATCAGTTTAGGGGCAGAGAAGGAACTCTCTTGCCGTTATGGACGATGGCATACGAAAAAGCAGACTCACTTTATGTGACCGATATCAGTTGGAGTCCTGATTATTTTGATATGTTCGCCGTCACGCTTGGAACTCGTGAGCATTATTATTATTTATTTAATAGCTCAATCGATGATTGACAATGTCGTAGAAAATTATTACTGTCGGTAATGTTGTAATAATGTTCCGTCTTATTTTAGCACAAGGACACATACCGTTGACGGACAGCCCGGATATTGGCTATCTTTGTTTATGGTCCCTGAAGAATCCGTCGTATCCGGAATACATAAATCAAACGCATTGCGGAGCCATGTGTTTGGATTTTCATAGGCAACACGGGTTTCTCATAGCCGTAGGTTTTCACGATGGTCATTTAGCTGTTTATAATGTGAGTTTGCCAACTAAAGAACCACAGTACATGACGGACTCGGTAAATTCGAAACACAAAGGCTGCGTGAGACAGGTGAGATACGAAAACTTGTTGTGAATCATAGTCGGGCTGGTTAGGTCGGTAGGAAGTTTCCTGTTGACTGCTTGCTTCGACGAATCGATTCACAAATATTTGGATTACCAGATTAACATCCTCTTTGAGTAGGTAGTTTGGGCCAAGGACTTGCCGGACGGCGAAATGAACTTCTATTCGATATCTGAAGATGGTACCGTTTGCAATTGGTTGCTTATGCAAAGCGAAATGTCCAAAACGATTATCGTCACACTAGTGTTAGACATGGAACCGCAAATAACTTTAGGCGGGATAAGCGAAAAACTCATTGGTACGTTTTAATGTTCTTTCCTTGTGTTAAAATAACGTTATAATCCGGCCCGGTAATACAATTTTTTACAAAATGTAAACGAAATATATCCAACGGATTTTTTATTACGAATTTTTTTTTGTCTCTAAATGAATAATAAATATACTTAAGCGTTTTTATTTTTATTTTTATTAGGGCGGGGCACGACGATAGCGTTCCATCCTGAGGACAACGGAATATATTTAGTCGGGACCAATGAGGGATACATATTCAAGTGTAACACTGAGTGGAGTTCGTTTTTCATGCAAAAATTCAAAGCTCATGAAATTACCGTATATCGAATTGATTACAATAAATACGATCCTAACATTTACATATCATGCAGTGGAGATTGTACAGTTAAAGTTTGGGAAGACAAGTCAGAGTAAGTTTTGTTTAAAACGTTTTTTGTTATTGCACCCTTAGTTCTCCTTAGACATAATATCACGCTGGCTTATTAATGCGTCCGCTTAGAGGCAATCCATGATCAGTGATTATTATTTGGCATTTTATACTTATTATTATTTAATCGTTTTTGCCATTTTAACTATAGTTGCTTAATTTAATCGCAGCACTGCGTTGTTGACGTTCGACTTATTGTGGAGCGTATCCGATGTGCTTTGGTCGCCATTTTCCAGTACCGTTTTCGGTGTCGTTACTGAAGACTGTGACATGGTTTTCTACGATTTGGACGCGGATAAGTTTAAAAATATTTGCAGTCAACCTATACAGCCGGAAAATCAGTTCCAACTAACCAAAATGGCTTTTAATTGGCGAATGCCCATCGTCATTGTAGGCAGTTCGAGGTAATATCACAAAACGTTTGGTATCATACAATATAATTTATTATTTAGATTGTAATTTGCTTTTCAGGAGTCACGTGGTAACATTGAAAATGTCGCCTAACTTGCGTCTGGTGATGAAACCGCCGAAAAAAGGCAAACATTATACCACACAAATGCTGGAACTGGAAAAATTACACAAAGTGTTGGATTCTACCCGAGAACCGGACAGCTTAGTAATACCCGCAGATGACGATACAGCAGATACATAGAAATTCCATCAAAGACCATTTTTGTTAAAAATTAGTTGTAGAATTATTTAAATCTAGTTATCTAAAGTTCTTTTGTGCAGATGAAAGCTAGATTTACTACACTAATTTATTGATATTTTATATTCATTGGCCTGACGCGTCATAGTGTAGTCACGAGACAGTCGTGCCGTTAAAAAGTGCAAATAAAAGCCTGTTGCTATCGTTATACCTGTTTACTGTTTGTGAAATAATATGTATAATCTTTAGTTTTCAAATTGAAATAAATCGCCAAGTGAAAAATAGGATAGCAGCAGAATTTACTAACTAGACTTAAGAGTTGAGAGCAACGACATGTGTTATCGTCTTACACAGTAATCCCCTAATTATAATGATGACATTATGTCACAATTACAGTCAATTTTTAGTTTTTCTAATCTCATACGTTTTAAGATAATTTATAAAAACGAAATTGATTGTTATAAATCCTGTAAAACGTTTATACATAGAAGAAACCGTTTAATTAACGCTTGTTAAAAAAATTAAATTACGATATTAAGATAATATTTGTATGAATAGGAAGATGTACATTTTATTTGTTTTGCCATATCTGATAATTATTATAAGTATGACACTTCAAGTTTTAATCGATCTAATGACAATTCAAATAATATTATAACATGACGTTACATTCGGAATATGCGCCTGTAAACCGCGTACGTGAACACATGAAGAGTACATCCAAGTATTGTCAAACTCGAGAATAACAGAAGATGATGATGTACAGTTGAAGGAGCATCAACATTTTTCTGGTTTTGTGCCATAGCAGACATAAAAATGTCAACAACAAAAATTCAAAATCCACTTTTAATCACACGATACGTTCTTTGAGTTTAAAGAACATAATACGGCCTACGGGAATACATTAATGTGATAAAATACGTGATACATTATATGAGTGGAATCTCAAAAAAAAAAGTTGTTTTTACAGTTTGTGATAACGCAAATAACATAAAAAATGCATTATCGATATTACAGTTTAAATCCATGGGATGTTTCGCGCATACTATGAATCTAATGGTACAAGCTGCTCTTACTTTAGAAAGTAATTTAATAGATCGGGTAAAAGCTATCGTTTCACATTTAAAAAAAAGTACTGTGACCAACAACAACTTGAAAACATAACAAATTAAAAATGGTGTTAGTGAACCAAAAAAACTAATCCAAAATGTATAGACACGTTGGAACTCAACTTATTATATGATACATAGGTTTGTCGAATTAGAAGAATCTATTCGTGGCACAGTAGAGGTACTCGAGAAGGCATCGGGAAATCTTAAAAGCGAAGAATAGACAATTTTAAAAGAATTGTGTAATGTTCTTAAGCCATTTGAAGAAGCTACTAAATTATTAAGCGGAGAAAAATATATGACTGCATCACTAATTATAGTCTGCCTCAAGGTTTGGTATGTGAATGTGACAAAATGACACATATGAAGCTAGTCATGTGTATAAAAACAAAAATTAACTGCTATTCATACTTGGTTCAGGCCGTGTTAAAAGTCGGACGCTTATTACGGACGTTGTCCTTCACAACCCACACATATATAGCACGTATATATTATATTAATGTGGTAAAGACGACAATGTTAACATTAAAATACAAGTTCAATGACCTAAAGTACAATTGCCTAACCGATAAAGTATTTGCAAATATACAAATCGCATGCCCGCTGTGGCATCCGTTTTCTACTTAGGGTCACTATTATCTAAGACCTTACACTGATTATTTAACAAATATACAATTCGCACGTCCGCCGTGGCGTCCTGTCTCATACACAATACCCCACTACACACTTCATATAAATAACAGGCTTCAGACAGACAAACTAGAGCACTCAATTGGACAAGTGGTCCTTATCATTGTTTTGTTTGTATACTTATTATTTTACTCTGAAATAAAGTGTTTTAAAAACTAAAAGTATTCAGTGTTTTCTAATTATTTAATTTTTAAAATTTTTTAAAATCATTAAGATTATAAATAATCTTAATAACCAGGCTATTACACTTGTAATAAAGACAGTACAAAAATGAACGAGGTGAACACTATTGTTGATTGGTGTAGCTGCTACAGTGGTCATCAACGGGGGGATTTTGCAAACACCAAGCTTTTTTGAAAAACTATTTTCCTGTCTATGATTTTCCAAATTGTCCCGCAGTTAATTGCAATGATCGCTATAATCTTGCTTTGCTAAGTAGCTCTTGGTAATGATTGTCCACCAAATCCATTTTTTGAAGTAATGTATACTGTAAAACAAAATTAACTCAATATTTAGATTAACCAATATGTAAAACTTGTATTTACAGTATGTTTATGAACTATCAACTCCTCAAACATATCTGATAGAAAAAATAACTTAGCAGTTGATGTGTTCAACTGCTGAGTGCTGAGGCAGAAAGCGATCAAAATAATTGTGTATCAAAAGACCAACACATGTTACTTTATCTAACGATGTACTGGAGACATCAGTTATTAACCAAACAATTTTCAAAGAAGTGGACAGAGTTTTCAAATTTTATAAATAATCTTGGACTAGTTTTACAAAAAGATGTTTCAGAAACGCCCATAAATTATTTGAATATTTTTACAAAAAAAAAAAAATACAAAATATAGCTTCTTCATCTCGGTCCATTTCGACTTCGTCACTTGTTTCTCCACCCACCGAGTCGAATAAAGAGATGATTATCGATAAAGAGAATTTATATTCGCCAGAAGCATTACCGAAGTTACGTTCATTTGACGGTGTTTTTTTAGTTATATTCAAAATAAATGCGATTTTTCTAAAAACAAAACAGTGGTCTGCTGTGTGAAATGTGAGCCTAAATTGGTCGATCATAAAACGTATGGTAGTTCTTCATCATATTTAATTACACATCTAAAGCGTCGTCACGGCGATGAAGCATATTTAAAAAATAAAGAATATTTACAGCAAAACCGGTCTAAAAAAGGGACCATCGATACAAAAAAACACCCATTAATTACTCTCAAGCAATGTTTGATGAAGATCGAGTTAAATTTGTTTACATTCTATTAAACCAATGAGATCTATAGAAGATCCTTTTTTTTTTTGGAAATTTTTAAAAATTTAAATATCTCAAATAATGGTCTTCGAGTATAAAAATAATCGCTTCAATAGATAATAGAAGCAATTTTATAAAGGCATTTAAAATATTCGGCATAAATCAAAAATCGATTGAAATACTAAATAATGAAAATATAAATAGTAGTAGCAGTAGTGATTCTGAACACGAAACTAATGATATAGACATTCCAGGACTAGATTTTTTGCCATTTCATCTGAGATGCTGCGCACATACTCTTAGTTTATGCATCACTAGCGATCTATTTAAAAGTTTAAAAAATAAAAAGGAATTATTACTTAAACACGATAATGTATTAAAAAAAATGTAATGTTTTATGGTCTGCCGCAAATCGCCCAAAATCGGCTGAAATTATTCAACATGTGGAAACAGGTGGAATAGTTTGTAAGATTCCCTTCGAGCCATTTTAAAAATTAAAGATAACATTTCTAATCTCTATAAATCGCTTGAAGTTAATAGTAAATATTGGCTGCAAAATGATCACTTTACGTATATTGATAAACATTTAATTTTAACAAGACCTATAGCTGAGGCATCGTGCAAGGAGAACCGAATACATATTATGGAGTGGTCATACCATGTATTACGTAGAAAACTTGATTTATTAGAAAACGGCGATCACACCTGCATATACTAAGACCTCTTATGGAGTGCCTTAAAAAAAGTGTTGAGGAAAGATTTAAAGATTTTTTTAATTTTTCTACAATAGAATCAAAAAATGCCTCAATATCCGCGTTTTCTTAACCTCGTCTTAAAAACCGCTGGCTTGCCTGTGTAGACCCTTCCGAACATGATAAATTGTTAAAAAAATTTAGACGAGCCGCCGAATTGGAAAACTCTTCGGAACATAGTGAAACGCTACTATCAGAACAAAACGTTTCTGCTACGTCTGATAATTTTAAATTTTGGAGTCCACATTGGGACTTAATTAAATTTGAAACAATTGACGTATAGAGGCATATTAAATAATTATTTCTTGCTTAATTTAAGTATAACAGAAAATTAAGATCAGTAGCTAGTTGGAGACTAGATGCAGATGACGAGGGGACAAATGACTTGGGCAGCTCGCTTTTGATTGACATTAAATTATAAGCCGTCAGTTATTTGATAAAAACTAGATTACATATTAACTGACAATGGCGTGCCAGTAAGTTTTATCAATACAAACAACATCCTTGAAAACTGACGTAACGAAACCATTAAAAACAATTACACGAGTCTAGTCGTTATGGTAACGCTGGTAATCGAGTGGAGTTAGTTTAAATAACTTAGAATTTCTTCAATGTTGCTGACCTTTGTTGTTTTTTTCTAATGACAATCTACCGTTTTGCGTAGACCGAATTACCGAATACACCACTGCGGTCAATAATGAATTTCGAAGCCGTAACTGTATGGCTAGTACTCGCGTATGGCGTCCAGTGTTTAGGATCTGACATCAATGACCAGGCGGCGTTGAGTGATGAATTGCCTAAAACCATCAAAGAAAAGTTGATGAAAACTGATCAGCCCAAGAGCGAACCGCCGGAGTCCAAGCAGGTGCTAACGAGATTAGATCTGCCAGGTGATGGCTCGACCAAAATCGACGACTCTATGGCCGGTAGTAAGTTCACCACCATATCATACTTGACACGAGCCCATCGAACACAGGCAGCCGTAGAGTCCACTAGACTGTCGGCCGGTACCCGACCTGCAAAAGACAGTGGCAACGTGGACAAGTGCCGCGTTGAGCCTCTGGGCGACAATAATGGACCGTCAGACGAGTTTTGGCCACTAAAAAAAAAAACTCTGGCTGGAAGAAAAACGATGCCCATTACAGCCCCTACGTGGGTGTTTAATATGAACACGCCTGGCCATTGTCAAAGCGCTGTACCTGCAACCACAGGCAAGGGCTGCCGTTCGAGTACTACAACAACGACCAACGCGCCTACCACTAAAGCCACGACCTTGTGCACCGCTACTACTAGTGCAACAACAACCTGCACTAGAAAAGCGACCACGACTGCCACAACGACTTGCGCTACGACTACAACTACAGTAGCCGCAACTACCACCAGTCCCGTCGTCTGTACCACTCCTGCTACAACTACGAAGAGTACCACGTTAAAAACGCCTGTCTGTGTGTCGTTGGACACTGCTCGGTCCACTTCCTCGACCGTTTCCAATTGCGCATCGTCTACTGTTAGCACTACGTGTGCAGTGCCTCCCATAGTTTTTCAGCTATCGAGTCCCACTAGTACATTAGCGGTCGCCAAGACAAAAGACGCGGAGTCCTTGACTGTTAAACCGACAAACCAAGTGCCGGCTGTCGTTTCCAAAGCCTCGAGCCAGTCCACCACAAATACGGCTTTCGAGACAAAGACAAGCCACGAAAATGTCCAATCTTTGCTGTTTTCCATTAAACCAACCGGCGAAGTGCCAACCGTTGCAGTTTCCAGAACAATTAACGCACCGTCTAGCACACAGGTCGTTTTTAATTGCATACCCTTGTCGTCGACGACGAGTCCGCTCTCGTGGGCTCTTGCACGTTTCCATCCGCCCTGCCCGACTAAAACTACCGGAGGTTCCGATAACATCTCGAACATGTACAATAAGCGATTACACTCCAATTCGGCTGTCAAATGCAAGGCGACGATCAATCGGCAAACTCGGGCAGTAGTACCGTCCTCCACAACAATGCTGCGACGTGGACTTCGGTCAGAATTAGCTCCAGCTGACTGCGTCAAGTCGGCGGGACCGACGTCACGGACGGTAGCTGAAAACTATCCGACGGCGGTTTACGGTACTACAAGATATTTAAAAGATGAATCGTCCACTTTTATTAAGCCGGTGATGTCTCGACGAAAACGGTCCAAAAAACTAGTTAAGTATTAATCCGGATTTATGCGGATGGATCGTCTGAAGATATTTACAATTGGAATATCATTATGTATAGTTGTGGAACGGTATCTATCATTACTAGTTCCTTTGCTGCAATAATCATGAAACCACATTAAGAACATTGAAAATCGTTGTCTAACTATTTGTATGATGTACTTGTACGACTATTTGACCTGTATAGAATTTGTCTGCTAGATAAATAATAATTGTTTTAAATAATTTTTAAGTAACTTAATGTAATATTAAACATATGTATATAGAAGTAATTAAACCGTGTTCTTTACTTAACTTAAAAATGGTGAATTTAATAATTTAGATGAAATGGTAAGATGAATAAATATAATTGACTAAAACACTATTTTTCTAGCATCGTCATTACTGGACATACGTCTTTGTTAACACCTTAAAATAGTGAGTTATATAATAATTACGTTAAAAAAGAACATAAGATAGAAACACTATTTTAATTAAAATTGCACATGCTCTATACTAGTTTACCGCTAGTAACCGTTGGTCTGATTTTCATACCTAAATCCCTAAAACTGCTTTGTTGGGCAGAATATCTTCGAAGACAGAAAATCGACGGAAAATTCGCCTATAGCACCTATTACATAATATCTACAATACAATGAGAAGTAATTTTTGTAATTGAAAATTAGCAAATAACGATTGTCATTTCTATTTGCAACAACCATAATCGCACGTGTATTGTCTGGACTTGTCATATTTGCGATACATCTCATAAGCGATGGCATGAGCAACGCGATGATAATCAAAAGTTCGAAATCAAAAATTATTGACATTATTGAAAAACTTGTACATTTTATTTATTTAGTTACAAGAAACTAAAATTTTTAAATAAACATCGGCTTTCTCATAACATTGTAAAGTAGTCAAAGATCTCCAATTTTTTTACAGAATTGAAATTGGATATCCTATGTAGTCGACATTTTGTCTGGCTTTTCTGTCTAAAATAAACTAAAATGGCTTTTATTCATAGAAAAAATTATTTACGTTAAAAATAATACTACGATGCTTACAAATTAACCAGTATATTAATTGACATGGTCCAAATTTATTAAATCTTCTTTTGTCATTTTTATGTCTTTGCTTTGGCACATAAACGGAAAAATCGACACCGCTTATCATAACGAAAAAACCGACACCGGTTTTTAATATTATGTTTAATTATTATAGTAAATCAAATATAATTACATAGACAATATAAAGAAATGGAAAAGAACAAACCGACGGTAAGCCTTTGATAATAATTAAAATAATATTATTTGTCCAATTTCCCGTTGAATTTCAACAAGTAAAAATTTTAATTTAACTTTCTGACAGTCGTACAGATTAGACGTCTTTTCTTGTTCCTTACACGACAATATTTTATTAGTATACATTTATTACTATTCTTTACATTTTTTCGGTTTTAAATTAACATAACTTTCTTATTCTCATTTGTTGTATTTCTCTGTATTATTTAATATTGCCTATAAAAAACAGAATGTATGCAATCCCTCAAGGCAAAACAAATGTTTACTATGTATCAAGTTCCTATAAAACAGTAACTCGGCATACTTGACTTTAAAGCTTTCAATTTATAGATAATGATTATTACTTTTAAAATTCAAGATAAAACATGATGTTTTGCCAACAGTATTTAAAATTTCAATGAAATCATTAGTATTCAGTAATTGGCAACAACAAATATGATGCTTTATTTATAAATATTATATCGAATATTATTCGAAGAAGTTGAACAAATTCGTGTTTAAAGGTTTGATTTCATCATAGAAGCTTAACAGAAGAAACACTCTTTTGCACGCCATTTAATAAAACAAAACATTTGTAATACAAGTATTTCTGGCTAAAAACGTAGTTAGGCGCGTAAATATGTATAATACAAACAAAACGTGTAAATTACGTTGGTCCGTTCCGAGTGGTGTTGTACATCCGTTACCAAAAGAAATTTACAACGGATTTTGTATTTTTAACTGCCGAGGAGGCACCAAAAATATGTTTTTATTCAAAAATCGATAAATTGTTATTATTTTTATCCGTCCCGGGTTTCGTTTGCACCGATGAACGGCAAGAGCTTCGAAGCTCCGTTTTACCGTTCGCCCGAATACCAGCTCAGGTACCCGGAGTACTTGAAATCGGTCGTGCCGCCGCCCAGGATGACGGGTACCGATATCGCCAGTCTGTTGTACCCGAAAAAGTTCACCACGAGAAAGTTCTTCGCTGACCATCAGACGGCGCTGGGTGCGGCCGATGTGCACGAACGGTTGCAAGACGAGCTGGCCAAGTACGACAAGAAAACCGGCAAGGCGCCGGTGACGGAGGGGAAAAAAAAGAGTAGAAAACCGAACAAAAACGACAAGAAACCTCCGCCGCAGCAGCGAGGCTGCAGCAAAGTGTATCCGAAAGGCACGTTCGGCAACTGCGTACGGCCGGCCGACGAGAGGCCGTTCGACGTGGACGCCGTGGAAGCCAGGTTGTCGGTGATAGACACCAAGGCTCACCGGGCCGTCATCAAGGAGATAGCGGATTTCGATCCGCGACCGTCGGCGGCGTCGATACCGGCGGTAGAGCCACCGCCGCCTCCGGTCGAACTACCGCCGTCACCGCCACTTCCTGTTCCTTCTCCTCCTCCGTCGGTTCCGTCTCCGCCACCAACGCTTCACCGCAGTGTTTCGGTGGAGCGGCCGAAAGTGCCGATTTCCGGCAACGCCGTCGGACCGGAACGCGGCACGTTGAAAGAAAGGAACGCGGACGCTGTGGCAGAGTTCATAGAGACGTCTAGGCATTTCAGCAGGATGTGCGATCTCATGGTCATCGGAGACCACGACCTGACCACCGCCAAAGCTCAAGCCAAACGTCTAGCCGAAGACGCCCGGAACCGCGTGTTGGGCAGGAAGAACGGTTCGGACGCCAACAACCGCTTCTTTTTCGGCGTCACCAAATACTCGGAAATGGAACGGCTAGGGTTGGGAAAGTACAACGGTGTCACGTGGGTACCAAACTCGCGGAACACGAATAAGCTAAAAAACAAATTGATTCGGTTCGAGTGAACGGCCAAACACGAGCGCACGAGTTAAGGCTCGGAGACAAATTCATCGAGTCATATTCGGACGACGTCCAAATGTTTTTAGGGAAAATCGAAATTATGTGTGTATACCTCGACTTCGATCAGGATTGTACGGTTTTTACCATGAATTAAAGTCACAAAAAAGGGCATTTTATTTCGACCTGAACCGACAACTAAATTGTGTACTATATTTGACTGCAATAATTGAAATTTTAAATTTGCGATTACCCTCAATTGCAGTTAAAAATTCTGCAAATCTTCGCAGTGGCACCTTAGGAGGTTGTATCCGACTCGAAGAATTTCATAGCCTTTAGAGGTTAGTAGTACGTCCAACTGTCAGAATAGTGACAAGTCAGAACAAAAAGTTAAATGGGGATGAAGATGAAGTTGGGGGTGGGAATGGGAATGGGGTGGAATTAGCTGTGGCGCATAACCGAAAAAAAGCGTAACGAAAAAAGCGTAACGAAAAAAAAGCGTTACCAAAGAAGCGTTACCACACGGAGATGGGTTGGAGGTGGAAATAGGATTAGAAGATAAAGGGTGAGTGATAGGGACGGGAGAGGGGTAAGATATAGTAGATAAGAGATATGTTGTACGTTCAACGTTCAAATTAAAACTAAATAATAAATTCAAAATAGTTTAATTCTCTATGTTAAGTTACTTTTGGCCAGATAATAAACACTACAATTTTAGCCAGAAACTTGATTGAACATAATTTTTTTTTTTTCTTTTTTTTTTTTTTTTACACCTTTTAATTCCACACCTAATCTAAATTTATTGGGTACTTCAACGAGACAAGAAAATGCTCTTTCGTGGTTGCAGACTCGGCTGAAAAACTTTTTTTTTTTTTTTTATAGGCTAACGCGGTTAAACGGCAGAAGTGACTATTACTCTTTGAACGCAGGCAAATGCCTTGTCGTCTAATAAATGATGCACATAATTGCATTAATAGGATTCTCACTGTCCCTACGGACAAATGAAATGAACGAAGCGGGAGCTTGGAGGACTCCCGTGGGTGATAACTCCATGGGGTAATCGCTGACCTTTACTGGTTAAGGTTACCACCAGTAAGCCGTTGACGCAAACTCATTCGGTCTCCCGCCGGTCTCTTCGGGGATTTGGCGCGGGGTCGGTGGGCTGCCAGACGGCGCCCTGGGGCGGGCCAGTCTTGGTGGAGACTGGCCAAACGTGTATCTCGGCCCGGCACTTACGTGTCCGGTAAACTGAGAGGTCCTGGTTGGATCTGCCTAGCGGTAAGGGCGCGTGGCTACATAATTGTAGTCACAAGACTCCTTCCAAGCCCCGGTACTTAGCTATGGGGAAACTGGTTGTCACGGGGAAGGTTAAAAGGCCGTGAGTATAAGGAACCCCGAACCCCTGGGAAGGTTTGGGTACGAATTCCTTGGTGAGTCAGAGAGGCGCAGTGGCTCATTGGACAGGCAGGTCGTCCTCGTTTCGTGGGATTTTTATGGAAAATTTATTAGAAATTGATGAGATGGAGTTGGAGGGAGACATTTTGGTGGCGGAGATTTTAAGTGGTCGCGTCTCGCCGGATGCCGTAAGGGCGGAAGCTACGGACCCGATGTCGCCAAGGACGCGTGCTCGCATGTCGGACTTGGTGGCTACGGCCCGTACATCCACGAACGCGATAGTGGAGTCGGCGAAAGCGTTGCATAAGGGCAACCGAATCTCGATCGCTCGGGAGCGGGCATTCGTGGAATCGTGCGCCAGTGTTATGGCGGTCGTCGACCAATTGGTCGTCGATCAGTCGTTGCTGGCGGGTCGGCTCGCGGAGGCTCGCGAACAGCGAGACAGTTTCGAAGCCGCTGTGAGAAGCTTTGAGGCTAGGGTGCAGGGAGATTCGCGACGCTCGGTGCCGGTGGAAACGCCGACCCCGAGACGA